GGACGGGTGATTGGGCCTTGGCGATCGCTTGGCGATCGGAGGTTGGCGTGGTTTTGGGAGGCGTTTTGGGAGGAAGAGGGGGGTTTGATTGGGTGGGATGTAGGATTGTAGACTGAGGCTCGTGGGGGAGGATGAGGAGGATTAGGGTGAGGATGAGGATGAGGGTGTGGCTTGGTGGTTATGTGAGTTGAGAAGTTAAAGAGGCTTGTGAAGGGGATGTTTTGGAGAAGGAAGTGGGGGTTGTGAATGGGTGTGGTTTTACATGAGGCATCTGTGGCTTATTGATAGGTGAGTGAAGATGTGTAAATCGTTCCGCGGAGGTCGGTTTATCTTGCAGAGGGGAGGTATGTAGGTGAGGGTGAGTTGTTTGTTGCTGAAGCTGTGGTGTAACTGATGGCATCACAATTGCTCTCAGCCTGAGATCAGATTTGGCACCTCATGGTCTTGATCGCCTTCTCAAGACTATCCTTATCTACTTCACTCTGTTAGGATGACTGTGAAAGAGGTAGGCGAGGGGAGATCGTGCTCTCTGTGTCCGTTCGTCTACGGGCGTTCCTGCTTGAGTGAGTACTGGATACGGAGGGAGGCGAGGAGATGGACGATGTGTCAAGACATAGGTGTTTTATCACCGATGCTGGCTGGTTGAAGATGAGAGGACGACGGCTGAGGAGACGTGTTGGCTACAAGTTGTGATCTTGTAGGATCTGTCTCATAGCAGTGACTTATGCTGTGAGTTCTCCGTATGTTGGAAGGAGCCGTCCCGACTGGATTCACGTTCTTCTCTGGTGACCACACTGCCGCGGCACATTATTTGCTCGGTTGGACTGTTTGTAACGCACTAAGACTTACGAAGGCTGTAGATGAGACTGAACGATGAAATTAGGAATATTATTGCAAAATGATGATAATCAAGCATCTCAGTCATTCGGAGGTCGATAACGTTTGCTAGGTGACGGTGTGATTGCGGAAGAAAGGCCAGCGGGTGGTGAGCTCGCAGAGTAAGAAGCAGCTGATGGTGCATTTCGACCCGGTCTTAAACACATACAACGATCCAGTGCAAATACTCCAACCACACGATTGGCATGCCTTTGACGGGTGTGATCAGAAGCTGAGAGGAGATCAAGATGCTGTGAGATCAGCAGGCCTACGAATGAAGCGGTAGACCTACCTTTCCCATCGAGTATGGTGGCGAGAAGAGAAAAGGGCGATATCAAGCATCCGTCGATGAGTATTAGAAGAAGGCAATGGGAAGCTTGTGGTCGGGATGACGGACAACCCGATCCGTCAATGTCGAGTCAAAAGAGGCAGGGTATCATTGTCTTGGGGCTTCTGATGGCATACGCGATGTAACCAACTAGTTGGGCGTACTGATCATTCTCCATGAGAAACCAGGCTGGGTTGCTCGTCATTTCTAAAAGAAACCGTCTGGTTTTCATGTATCTGCGCGACTATATTTCATTTGTACTCAATTACTCCTATCGGAGGCGATAGTACGGTAGAGATTATATAGGTGAAGAAAGCAGAATAGTAAAAATGATGGCAGCGACGACGACAACGACGGCGACGGTAAAGTACAGTAGAGTATATAACCACAGGAAAGAATGGACGGTCTCCTTCTGCAAGTAATTTAGAGAGGCCGAACTTTTCCAAGATCCGTTTTCAAGTGTTTGCAAAACACATTTTCTTCCACTCTAGTCAACTCGTCCCGGCTTCAAGGTGTAGTTCGGAGTCGATGACAGCGCCCGCTCGTGACGTGACACTGTCTAGGAAGGGGTGCGGCTAGGCTGATTCATTACCTATCCATCGTATATATAAGTTCTGCCTCGAAGAGAGCAAGCTCACGGATCCGCGGACAAAACCTGATAGGAATGAAGAGTTGGTAAACATCAATAATGGGGGTATGACACGGCAGCTTCTCTTGGAGGGAGGCTTTCGATGTGGTGCCCGCGATCCTCAGACACGCCTTGAAATTCCATTCGAGTTCATTGAGGTATTGCGATGTTCACATTGGCGGATTGCCAAATCACATGAAGCAATCAAGCCTCTATTGTAAGATGCAAGTGAGTCTGAACAGAAGCGCATGCACAAAAACGAGAGGAGACACCCTGATGCTCTTGGCAGTCGTTCGTGGGTTGGTCAGGGAAGCCACATTTGTGGCGGCTGTCTCGCTGGAACCTGCACCTGTTCCGGTGGCTCGCGGGGCAAAGTAGCGCTCCAAGAGAACGGTCCAAAGCTCACTGGACATGAAAATGACCCTTCACTGCTTCTTTCGGCAGGGACCTCTTCGGCATGCAACCGTAACTATGCTCAATAGGAAAGGACTGGCATACTTTACTGCTCTGAGAACGACGCCTCATGAGGCAAAACCAACTCTTCTATCGAGCCCTGCGTTCCCGACGGAAAAAGCTGCTCAATGAGCAACGCCGCCGCTGCTTGGCCGCAGACGAACCGTCACCGGCCGGTGGACGCAGTGTCTCTGGGCAATCTCCGGGTGCCTCTGCGTCCGCGTGCTAACCTCGGAGGGGCAGCGTTCACGATAGGCAGGCCGGCGCGCGACGTGAGGGAGGGCAGCTTCAACGTGCACGGAAACGGGGTTGGGTTAGCGGTGGCTGACGGTGATTTTTCTCATAACGGTGAAGCGTTGATTCCAGCGCTTCTTATGGCTGAAATTGACTTTTCTGCGCGGGAGCACGACAGGGGGGCGGGATGTTTAGATTTGGTACCTGGCTGTCAAACCATACCTCGACTTCTGTGAACACAATTCTTGACGCGACAATCGATGGCAGAGGACTTCTTGCCTATCGTCCCGACGTGCGAGATAAGTTGATCTGCAACAATTGATGCATCCCCTCTGCTCTGCAACTTGATATTGCCCCTATCTGCGGAGACGCGCGCCCTGCTGATAGAGGCAGAGAGAGAAAGAGTCGGCCTGCAGCTCGTATTTGAGCCCGCGTCTGCCCAGGCTGATATCATTCATGCCGACGCGTCGATCGCATTGGAGGGATGGGTTGCGTGGTTTGCGCAGATCCAGCCGCATTAACAGTACAGCGCGGACTTCCACAGCTTCTGAAACGGGGAGACTTTTGGCGCCTGGCTTCGCGATTGAGGTAGCCGACTTGGAGGGGCCTCGGCCTCTTGACGGCGGGTGACCCGCGCCACGGCGGCGGCGTGGATGGCGAAGTTCGTCGTCGCCCGGGTCGGGAAGGCTTTTTCGCTTCTGGAAGCTGGAGCGGCAACGGGTTGGAGGACCTCTGCTGCTCCTGACGAAGCTAGCTCTACTTCGGATGAAACAGAAACATCTCTGGCAAACCTCGATATCCTTTTGCGACTTGCTGTTTCTCAATGTCTCTCGACATGTTCAAGATGGAACAGCAGGAGCCCTTTCGCGTTGCATGTTTTCTTCTTCGGCCTCGGGTTACTCAGCCCATCGTATGTTTGCCCGCCGCCCACACTTCTCTTCCCCGGCCGCATGACGGGCCAAGAGTTGGCTGGGAGATTCAAGGATCCCGTCACAAGACCTCCTTAGGCCTCTGCTAGAGGCTAGGATCCAGGGGAGGGAGGGGGGCACCGTTTTTCTCGTGTTTTTTTTCCCCGCATTGCCCAATGGAATTCCGCATCATCGACCACTCTGTTCCCATTTATTCTTGATGATCATAGGCCTATGTATCGTGCGTAGGCTGCAGCGAGGCCCTCTCATTACGCGGTAGAGTTACGCAGAAGCTGCGCGCTTCCTTCGGGTCGCATTCAGGGGTCCAAGGGTCCATCGGTCACGACTGCGAAGCACATGAACATGCGCAGTATCCGTAAGGTGCCCAAGGGAAGCAGGCCTGTCAGCACTTGGTGAGGCCAGAGGCGACGGTTGGTTGCCAGCTGCTGTCCAGCACTGCCAGCGCAGCAGCCAACTCTTCCGAGGCAGCGCAGACACATCATCACAAGGGAGCCCTGTTGGGGGGATGTGCTATTGACAGGGCATACCATTACCCATCAACACCACCGTCTGGTCTCTTTTCCGTCTCTTGTGCTGCTCTGGGAGGTGCCCCTTGTGCAATTGTGTCATTGTGTTTCCCAGTCAGGCATGTTCCTACCGATAAACCAGCAAAGAGGAACCCCCTGTTCCCGAAGGACCCCTGCTTCACAGCCTTTTGCTCATTCCATTTTGCACATTGTCGGTAGGACCACCTGCCATTTGAGAGGTTAATTCGTTGTCAATGTCACTTGTCAGGCTCAGGCCCTTCCCTGGTGTCCACTTGTTTTCTTTCATTTAATCTATCCGTATGTCCTTTTTATACTAGCCCGTCGGCTTCCTCTCCAGACTCCGACGGTGGGGATGTAGGAACCTCCGGGACAGAAGGGAGAGGGCGGCGAGGAAAAGAGGGGATTCATTACCTGATGGGAAAAAAGCGCGAAAAGTGAGCGAGGAAGAGGAAAAAAAACAGTTGCCGCGCCACCATGTTGGAGACGCTATTACGAGTGGCTTTTCTGTTAGCACCCGTCGGCCGACACGCTTAGGTACCTGCTAATAAGTGCTTGCTTGCCTGGGTACATTACCTACCTAGGAGGTGCAGAGGAGATCACCGAATACAGCAGGAGGGAGATACGTATCTACGGTTAGTATGGAGGTAGCTAGGGTCGACTAGACCGCATCTGATCTTCCCGCACCCTCCGCCTGCTCGGTTATCCTCTGCAGTCTGCACTCTTTGCTGTGCGCTACTGCTTGTACCTCTCAGCAGGTCTCGTAATAAACCGTTTCCTGTGTCTCTGGCCGCTGGTGACTTGTTACGAGCTTTTCATTCCACCGTGTTTCGCCGTGGTGGCACACACTCACTCTCGAACCTTTCCTGGACCTCCCTCCCTCGAAGCCAGACGACGTCGCTTCACACTTTTCCACCCTCATCACCAACCTTTCCAACTATCGTCGACATCCACCCGGATCTCTCTTTTGTCCAGCAAACACACACTCAGGTTGCTCCCTCTCGCCATTGAGCGAACCTACCGCAGCCATGCGTCTCGGATCGGCCGGCCTCCTGGCCCTGCTCTGGTCCTTTAGCAGCAGCAACATCGCGACAGCATCACCACTCGCCGACGACGCCAAAGCCATGCCCGGCCTCCGCCCAAGACAGGGGTCTGGCACAGGCTCAACACCAACATCGACGACCCCCGTGGCATCGACGCCCACGACGAGCGAAGCAGCAGAGGCGACGACCACAATCACAGACACAGTCACCGTCGGCGGCGGCAGCGGAGGCACCGTCACCGTCACGTCCAACTTCCTCCGCACGGTCATCACCACCGTCGTCGTCACCACCACCACCTTCGAGACCACCACCGTCACCAGCAACGACGTCGCAACAGCCACTCTGACCGAGTATGTCACCTCCACCATCCTCGCGAAGCGCTGGATCAAATTCCTCCCCGCCGAGACCGCCCCCGTCGCTGCCCCCGCCGCCCAAATCACCCCCGCGGCCGACCTGCGCAAGCACGCCGTAATCGAGAAGCGCGCCATCGTCACCGTCTTCGTCACCGTCACGGGCACTGCCGGCGCCGACGCGACAGTCACCAACGTCCGCACCAGCACCGTCGTCCGCACCACCACTTCCAACCTCGTCCAGACCTCCACCATCATCAGCACCCTCTTCAACAACGCCCAGACCACAATCACCGTCACTTCGACTCTGCTCGTCACCTCCACCTCGGTCGACACCACCTCCGCCGCCACCGTCGACACCGGCCCGACGACAGGCAACATCGCCACCGCAACCGACAGCGGCACCTCGGCCACAGGCTCAAGCGACAGCGGCAGCGGCGACGGCGGCCTCTCCACGGGCGCAAAGGCTGGAATCGGCGCGGGCGTGGGCGTCGTCGGCCTCGCGCTCCTCCTCGGCATCGGCTGGTGGCTCTACAAGCGCCACAAGGCCAACCGCCCCAGCGCGGCCGACCTCGCCGACATGCGCGCCTACGACCCCAACGGCCCGTCTTACGACCACGGCCACGGCATGTCCGAGACGGGAGCCGGCCTCGGCGCAGCTGCCGCCACCACGCCGACTCACAGGCGCCAACCCGTGCCGCGCAAGAGCAGCCAGCTGTCGCCGCCCACGCAGAGCGTCAGCCCGATGTCGAACCAGACGGTGTCGCCCGCCAACGACTACGGCTCCGGGTACACGAGGCCCGCGAACGGGGCGAATGAGCTGGGCGGCACGCGCATCCTCCCGCCTGAGATGGGCGGCGACGAGGTTGTCGAGATGGGCGATGGGCAGCCTAGGCCGCAGCCGCCGCAGCAACGACAGCATATGACGTCGTTCCAGTCTGGGCCGGTGCCGGATGTGTACGAGATGCCTGCCCAGAACTATCGATAATGCATGTGTGTGTGTGTGTGTGTAGCGTACCTTTTCTTTTGTGGCAGATTTGGAAGATGAGGTGGGGGTTTGTAAATATATACATAAAGGCTATTACTTGGATTTTGTTTTAGGATACTGAAGCGTTGCATTGAAGCTTTTGCCTTGCCTTGGGCACGGGGCAGGAAGGCAGGCTGGCGGCAGATGGAAGCGAGGCCGCGCGGGAAGCATTTTTCATTTGAGGGGGTTCATACTTGGGGTTTCAAAACTCTCTTCCGGTAGATAATCTTCGTAATGTGTACGAGGTAGCATGGCAATGCGAATTGCATGATGGGTCAAAATAAAGAGTGTTATATGTTGAGGAAGTTTCGAGCCCACCCAGTAGGGGTTTTCACAGTAGGGGAAAAAGCAGTAAAAGCACCTCGGTCAGTGCCCAGTCCAGTAGCTTCGCAGTATACATACCCAAGGGTCCGGAATAACTGCCCGCGCCAACCCTAACTCGCCTGCGTATAAGCGAAAGCATCTAGGCTAGACGTATATACTATTATGGCTATCAGCCTTGTTAACGATGGCTTCGTTGCCAGTAAGGTTAACAGCCTCGCCCGCATGACTCACGCTACGCAGAGATGGCTTCACAAGGTCTTCAGCCACGGAAAAGCTTGTCTTGGCCACGTACTTAAGACGCTGCTTGCGCTAAGCCTCGAGCCTATTCCTCACTAAGCAAACTACCTAGATTCCTTCATAATATGTTCTATCCTGCCTGATCTATGGGATCTCATGCTGTAAGGCTTTGCCTAAGGTACGCCCTAAGATACTAAGATTAATACTAACTATAGGGCTAGGTTTATAGCGATTAGTAAGATAATATCCTTTAATATATAGAGCCTTAGGGACTAGATAGCTATAGCTAGGTCCTACTTTAAGGTCCTAGAGGCTAACCTCAGTAGCAATAGCGTGGAGGCTGCCTACCTACTTTAGTAAAGCCTCTCGCTTAATAATATAGATATGTTTGCTACTAATCCTAATATTTACGCTTACTTTAATAACGTCCTTAGTAGGGCAGCGTAGCTAATAAGTTAACTAAGCTAAATTGTAGGTGTTATTGATAAATATAGAATATAGTGTAGGCAGTAGAAAAGATAGCTAAGCTTAACGATAGAGGGTGTATATGAGGGTTAATAGATAGGTTAGAAGGCTGGAGAAAGTCTGTAGTAATTAAACTTAGTTAAAGTTATGAAGTTATTATCGAAGTGATGTTGAAGGTGATGAGATTGTGATGGTGCACCTAAGCGTGTGTGGGGGAAATAGGGCTGAAGCTGGGATCACGTGACCAGTAGGCTGTTAGCTGAAGGGTGAAGTCAGAGGTCGTTGCAGTACAGGTTCCAGGTAAAAGTCACAGTAGCTGGCCAGAGGCCATAAAGAGTGTTATATATGTGAAGTCTTTTGACGTTTGCGCAAATTGTCTTAGATCTTGAAGAGCGCGACGTTGGCGCCATGGAATGATGTGCGTCCTTAGCTCTGCCGGTGGGAGGGGGGCAGCTCCAGCTCGCATATGGCTTGCATGTTCGCATTGTGGACGTCGACGACGACGCAGTGTCAGCACCTTGGTCTCACGCCTTATCTCTTGGCACCATACAGCATCTTTGCGTGACAAGGGGAGATGAGAGAGCTAAGAGTCTTCTGTGTGACGTTGGAAATGCGCTTGACGAGGACATGAGTTGAGTTTGGGGGGAGCGTGGCTGTTACGGGTGCATCCCGGCGAGGTGTCGTTCATCCCAAGTTTTACTGTTTTGGGTTGTCAGTGGTTGTCCCTGGGTCTTGGAGAGACGCATCCTGGGGAAAGAAGGGACAGGCTTTTGGTAATCAGTCGATATCTTGTGGTTGCGTGCCGATGCGACCCTGCTCTGATATGAAGAGCTTCATATGGGCCGCCAAGACGTCTGGTCGACAGCCCCGAAAGCCCGAGTCTTGCTACCGGGAACTCATTTTGTCCCGCTCAAGGGAAATTGCAAACGCAGACGTCACCATCATTCCTCCCAAAGCCATCGCTCACCGGCTCTGAAAGTTCCAGAAGACCGTCCATGTTTCGTCAGCACGCGGAACCATCTTGTTGTTGAAGGTGTGCCATTTGTCAGTCCGGACCCGAGCCATCGGCGGCATTTCTGCCGACTGCAATGCTTCATGTAAGCCAAGCCTTTTGATGGTCACGAACGTCCACCCTGGACGCAACACACCCACCCTTTCCCCCCGAAGGCCCCAAGGGTTCAAACAATGCCAGAAACACTCGCCAAAGAGCCCCTCCTCCATGGAGCGGTGGCACCAGGTCGGGTATCTCCTACGTTGCGGGCGAGTTGGGGCGCAAGTGCAACGGCGGGTGCACAGAGTGGGCGGCGGGCAACGGAAGGGAAAAAAAAAAAAAAAAAAACGGTGCGTAAGCTCGAACCAAACAAGCACAAGCACCCCTGTTGCGGTTGTTTCTGTCTTCTCTTAGCTGCAGCTCCGAATGGGTTCCAGACCCCGGGGGCAGCAAAGTCAGGATCTTATCTGCAATGTCTTGGTTTCTGAAGAAAGATACCGCGGGGGCAAGGCAAGGCGGGGAGTAGACCGAGGAACCATTTGATAGTTATCGTCTTCTGCCATCCAGAATTCCAACCCTCTTTGTTTCAACAATTCCGCCTTCTCTGAAGTCTTCAATCCTGACTCATGCAAGCGTCTTTCACGAGTTGAGTTGTTTTTCGCCCCAGCCAGCCACTGTCTTATTAGGCGGGTAATTACAAACATCGTGCCATAGTCTCTGTCTAGTCAACCCAACCCCGCCGACATAGGAACTGGAGGGGTCTACAGTCGACGAACACTGCAGAAGGGGAAGATCTCAATCGTCCCATGCACCGCGCCCGCGTGTAATATCTGCACGACACCCCGCCATCTTCAACGGCACCACCCCCGCCGGCCGCATCATCCTGCCCAGCGCGAGGTCTCATTGACGCATCGGGATTGAGTGACGATCAACCCGCCGGAATCCAAGGGAGCGTCGAGTCAACGTCAACCCTTCCACGCAGACAGATTCTCAAACTCTGACAACGAAACTTTTGCGCAATTGACGCGGGGTTATTGCTGGTCTGCAACTAAGAGTCATTCGGCTTTCTCTCACCTCCACGGAAACACCGCCGGCATGGACGCCGCGAAGAAGCACGCCGACGCCGGGCCCGGCGCAAGCTCGCCCGAGATCGACGCCCGGGACCTAGAGCCCGTCGACGACGACCTGGCGTTGCGGGAGAAGGCGCTGGTCAGAAAACTAGACGCGCGCATCATTCCCCTCGTAATGCTCCTCTACCTCTTAAGTTTCCTAGACCGGTGAGTCTGCCATCCCTTGCCCACCTGCACCTCTCTCTAACCCCGCCAGCGTCAACATCGGCAACGCACGCCTCTACAACCTCGAGTCCGACCTCAACCTCCAAGGAAACCAGTTCCAGGTCGCCGTCTCCATCCTGTTCGTGACCTACATCATCTTCGAGGTCCCCTCCAACCTCGTCCTCAAGCTCTTCACCCCCTCCCGCTGGATCGCCTTCATCACCGTCGCATGGGGCATCATCGCCACCCTCACGGGGCTGGTCGACTCCTACGGCGCCCTCATCGCATGCCGCCTGCTCCTCGGCGCCGTCGAGGCCGGCCTCTTCCCCGGGCTGAACGTCTACCTCACCTTCTTCTACAGCAAGCATGAGCTCGCGCTGCGCGTGGGCTACCTCTTCGTCAGCGCGGCCATCGCGGGCGGGCTCGGCGGGCTGCTGGCGTATGGGATCGGGCACATGGAGGGCGTGGCTGGGCTGAGCGGGTGGCGGTGGATTATGATTATCGAGGGCCTGCCGACGGTTGTGCTTGGTGTTGTGACCTTCTTCCTGCTGCCGAATGACGCTGCGAGTGCGAGTTTCCTGAGCGACGAGGAGAAGAGGCTGATGGTGGAGCGGAGGGGGCGGGAGTACGGCAACACGAGCAGCGCGCAGGAGTTCAGCCGCGAGGACATGTGGAAGGCCTTTAAGGACTGGAAGGTCTGGGTGTTTTGCGTGGCGCAGTTTGGCGTGGATACCATGCTCTACGGTGGGTGTGCTGCCGGAAGTCTTGTGTAGCTGGTGGCTGACTGCGGAACAGGCTTTTCTACCTTCCTCCCGACGATCATCAACGGCCTCGGCACCTGGACCGTCGCGCAGGTGCAGCTCCTCACGGTGCCGTGCTACGCCCTCGGCGTGGTGGTGTACATGACCGCGGCCTTCCTGTCGGACCGCAAGCAGCTGCGCGGGCTGTTCTGCGTCGTCTTCGGAAGCGTCAGCGTGATCGGGTACGCGATTCTCATCTCGGACACCTCGTCTGGGGTGCATTACTTTGGGTGCTTTCTGGTGGCGGCCGGGTTGTACGTCGTCGTCGGGCTACCGCTTGCTTGGGTGAGCCTTTCCCTCTTACAGAGTGCGTGTGCTTCTGGGCTAATGGGATGTTGCAGCTGCCGAATAACTCGCCGAGATATGGCAAGAGGACGACTGCGAGCGGGATGCAGCTGACGATTGGAAACTGTTCTGGGGTGATGTCGTCTTTCATCTAGTGAGTACCTCGGCCGTCTAAGTGAGAGGCAAGTAGCAACTGACAGACGGTATAGTCAAGCGATCGATAAGCCTAGGTACATCAGAGGCCACGCGGTGACGTTGAGCATGGTCGGAATGGGAACATGCTTGTACGGCTTCATGTGGTTCTGGTACTGGAGGGCTAACAAGCAGCGGGAGGCCGGTCTTGCGGAGGATAAGTATCGTGATATGTCTGATGACGAGCTTGCGGAGCTTGGGGATGAGAGTCCGCGGTTCAGATACACCATTTGAGACCGAACGACGACGATGCGTACCCGTCTGGTCAAAGCACTGGAGAAGGCATCTAAGATGATGGGCTAGACCTGTCGATGTTGCCAGCGAATAAAAGAGACCCCCCTCCTTCTGGATGAACCTTGAGAAGAAGGCGCATGCTCCATGCATGGTTTGGATTCAGCTTGCGTACCTGTAGTTTTTGAACACTCTTCAAAAAGAAGGCACTCCTCCGGCTTATGCACGAACCAGACTTTGGAAAAAAAAGGAAAAATGAAAGGGACGAGACTCGAACTCGCGCGGGTTGCCCCACCAGGAAACAGATGTTAAGCTGACCTTAACCTGGCGCCATAACCAACTCGGCCACCCTTCCGTGGAAGATTCGAATGATCTGATTGGTTGCAAACATTCGACTTTGCTCACATTATGTCTCTAGCATACAATACGAGTGGACCTAGCACGGAAGACACACACTCGCATGGCTGATGGAACGGCTAACTTCCATTGAGCACACAAAGTCTTCCTGCTGGGCCTAGCTACAGTAAAACTCTCAACGTAATGAGCAGTGATGGCACACCACAACCGCATCGTCCTGAACTCAAACCTGCTCTCCCAGCCAGTTACCGTTGTCCATTTCACACCAATTTTCACCACTGGAAGAAGCTCATGGGCACGCCCTGAGAGAGAAGCTTGAGGATTCGCCGCCCAGCAACGTCTCCACCACTACCGGCAGCAATGAGAAACGGCCAAAAGTGCTCTGCCTCGGCTTGCAGGTGGGAGACATAGCTCGACGGGGTATCCCGCCAGCCCTGAAGGGCCTTCTCACGAGCCTTTGCATCAGGTATTGCTGCCGTTGCATTGAGGTAGTCCTCAAACTCTTCGGCCCCAGAGGGAAGCTCGCCAGAGCCTTTGAACACGGCCATTGTAGTATCAAAGTCGTGATACGACCCGCCGCTCCCCATGATCGCGTACCCATAGTCTCTGAAAAACTCCAAGGCGCGACCCAAGCGCAGGTTCTTGTCTGTGGCCTCCTCCTCGTCCCACCCTGTAAGGACAGACACCTGGACAACCGGTATGTCTGCCTCGGGCCGCATGATTTTGAGCGGGACAAAGACGCCGTGGTCAAGACCACGCTTGTGATTGAGGACCGGCTTGAAGCCGCAGTCCAGAAGGCGGTGATTGATCTCCATGGCCAATGCTGCGTTTCCGAGGACAGGGTAGTTGGTCTCGTAGGCCTCGGGCGGAACGAGATCCTGGGCTCCGGCTACGGTTCCGTAGTCGAAATAGAGCCCAGGGTCCTCAAGGGCAGTGATTTCGGGCTCGTCACTTTCCCAGTGTGCTGAGAGGAGGATGATGCCTTTGACGCCGTCAAGCCTACTTCCCAACTTGGCAACCTGTTGTCGGTAATCTTCCAAGTCCGGGAGAATGAGCGGAAGAGGTCCTGCTCCATGGCTGATGAACAGGGATGGCGCGCGGGTTTTTCCTGGAGTTGCCATTTTGATAATGAGAGGTGGAGTATTTCTTCAGACTTTTGCTGCAATATCGAGAAATTGTCACAATGTTTTTTTGTCTTCCTCAGCAACATTACTGCAAATGAGGACTTCATTGGCCTACTTATAGTTTCTAGGTCTTCAGAAACGTCCATCGGCTTGGATTGCTGGGAAGGGTCTCGGTAACGACTGCCACCCATCTCCAGGACGGTCGAATGGTCTCGGGTTCACTGTTGCAGCCATTCAGAGAAACGCATTGTTGTGATCATAGCACGGGCGCATCACTTGTCCGACACTACCCCGACTGCCGGAACAGTCCCGGCTCCGCCAGAGGCGGGTCGGCGGCGGACTAGCGGCGGACTAGCTCAAAATGCGACCCGGAACAGTGAGTTTGTCAGCAACACAACCATCAACTCCGTGACCCGTCAAGTCCTGCGTGAGATCAGACTCGTTTGAACGAGGTGACTATCATGATTGATCTCAAACTACAAATGACATGTCTACAAGCGCCTTGGCTTCGAATGCCTGCCATTCGTGCTCGGTGAGAAAAAAAGGTTGCGATCGGTCACTGCCGGCTTGCGGCCGATGTGTAGGGTAAGTAGCAAGGTTTAGTCTAACACGCAGATCAGTTCTGATGCCGAAAAGTCGCAACAGCGTGTGTCACTATGGCTCTTCGTCCAAAGCGCAGCAACCTCCGTCAAACGACCTGGACCCCAAGGAACAGCCCTTAGGTCTTGCTTCTTATCTAGGACCAAGTGTCGCGAAACGCCAGGACCCTGACGATTTGCTAACATCCCACCTCTTCGCTACGCTAAAAAAGCTCAACCTTGCAGTAGAGGGTGTCCTTGACGGTTACTTGAGGTCAATACACGAATGGATCCCGATCATTCACCCAGTCAGCCTGAAAGAGCAAGTGGCATCCTTGCAGAGCAGACCATCCGCCGAGCTCGCCTGTCTTCTATTACACATTCTGCTCATCACTCCCTCATTTCCGTCGGCGTCTAGTCAACATCACGAAACGCTCTTGCCGTCGCTGTATGATGACTGCAAGTCATCGTTTTTACTACTGCAGACGTGCTCAAGGCGTCACATAAAGACCGTCCAGTCAGGCTTACTGCTCGCCATATACGAGCAAGGGCGAGGCCTCATGTCTGACGCTTACGCCACATTAGCAATTTGTGCCAGTCTCGGCTACATTACGAATCTCCATCGATCCCAATGCTCCATAACAGCAGCTGACGAAGAGAGAATACGGGTATGGTGGGCTATTTGTTTCCTCGACAGACTGGACTTCTACGCCAATGGGAAGTCTGAACGAGTATTCCTTGTCCACAACTCTAACATCGGCCGATCCCTCCTACGAGAGGACGAGGAATGGAGTAGTCGCCATGATTTCGGGGACATATCTCTGCCAGTTCTGTCGTTCCCAGTGGATGAAGCCCAGAGATACGGACTCTTCGCTAGCGAGATACAAGCCTTGCATGCATTGCAGTGTGTCATGCAGCTTACAAGAAACCCGTCGGTTCAGCTAGAAACACTCTTGGACCACGAGTCTTGGAAGCTCGATCTGCTGGTGCAAAGAAAGATCCGAGAAACACTGACACTATCCTGGAAGAGGCTGGAGCACCAGTACACCGTGGTGACCATATATCTCTTGGAAGTACACGTTTCACACTGCATCCAGACGTGTCAGCTAATCGTTAGACAGGGCGCTCATAGAACTTCACGAAAAAAGACTGACCTGTGCTGGCGGGGAAGAGATCCCTTCCTTCGCTAGAGAATCATCCATAGCAGCTCTGGAATCGGCCATCAACATTGCTCAAGACCTGCTTCGCGTGGAGAAGACTGCCGATATCCTCGAGCTGGACAGGATGCCCCTCCCAGCTGTGGTTCTATACAAGAGGGTTGGATTTACCGCCATCCTTCTGGAAAAACATCATGGTCGAGATACCCAGGATCTATTGCGAGAAGTGGTACAAAGCCTCTCGGACAAGATTGGTAAGCGATGGAATGTTGCCAGTGAGTCGTAATGTTCATTCTTTGGGCAAATGAAGGGCAGCAGACTGACACTTCCAGTTCACATCGCTTCTCAGCTCCGCAAAGCATCTCCTCGGAGTCAAGACACGGGCATAGCTTAGAAGGCTACAGGGTTGTCGACTTCATCTTATTGCAGTGGAAATCAAATCTATGCACTGGGCACATTCGTCAGGATGAAACACTCCGACACTCGTTGAGTTGAGCGTCAGATTTGGTTCGTAATCTGATAATTCTTCAAAATAACTGCTTCTCTAATTGAAAGTTTCAAAGATTGATTGGGTAAAGAGGTTGGGCTCAGGACTCAACGACTTGATCATGAGACTTAATCAAACTACCATGACTATCACACCAAGTAGCACGAGATCATGCGTTGCCCCAAACTAGAAAAGAGTGCTGAAGATGGCGAACAGCCCATGTCGTCTGAATCCTAAGGACGTCGTTGATTCTTGCTTTGATCTTTGAGAATGCCAGCAACTCCAAGCCCGCAGCTGTTCCACATTTCTTAAGCGACGGTACTTTGGTTCAAGTTGCGTCCACAACTCTGCGTTCACACTACTCCACAAGAAGCGCACGAGGCCGATGGGAGTGTCATTGCAGAATGCCACGTCAAGTTGTGGCCCTCGTCCCTTTCTCAAAAACCCCTGATACCGCACTCTGTAGCTCATCCGCTAGGCAAGGGTCGCCACCTCTCCATTGGCTTCCTCGCATCGTGCGAGTGCCGCAATCGCCATGTCCCCGCCAATCCATTGGGTGAACATCCCATGTTCCCACGGAGCGCAAAGTGGACTCTGAGAAAAAGCACACTAGACCCCCGGAGCATTCTGCAATCATTTCTTCAACGGAGGGGGGATTACGTGGCACAAGGCAGATCAACAGCTGCATTCTCGGACATTTTCACCGCAGGAGCTGTTTAAATAAAGAGGACGACATGCTCGCCAAGACCGCCCGCGTTACACACGCCATGCGCCGCATCGCAACCTCGCAACCATGGCCGAATTCCTGATTGCGGATGAAGATCTCGCCGGCGTCAAGGGCAAGGTGGTCATCGTCACCGGCGGCTCGTCAGGCATCGGCCTCGCGACCGTCACGACCCTCCTCGCCCACGGCGCCTCCGTCGTCAACGCCGACATCCAGCCCCCGCCGCAGCAGCCCGAGGCGTCTTACACGTTCGTCAAGACGGACGTGACCCTCTGGGCGGACCAGATCGCGCTGTTTAAGAAGACCAAGGAGGTCTACGGGCGCGTGGACCATGTCTTCGCCAACGCCGGCATGGGGCCCAATGCTAATTACCTCTCCACCGAGGTCGACGAGAACGGCGATCTGAAGGAGCCGTCGCATGCGCTGTTGGATGTTAGCTTGAAGGGCGTGATGCACACTGCCACGATCGCTATCTTCCACATGCGGCAGCAGGCCGAGGGCGGGAGCATCGTCATCAACGGCTCCACGACGGGTTTGCAACGACTCCGCGCCGTGGACTACTGTATGCCCCTCCCCTCCCTACAACTCCTACAACTCCCAGACTAACCATCTCACGAAGCCACCGCCAAACACGCCGTGTTGGGCTTCGGGCGCGGCCTCTTCTCCCTGCTCGGCGCCGCCAGCCTGCCCGTCAGAGTCAACACGCTGGCGCCCACGTGGACGGACAGCAGCGTGCTCCCTGACCTGAAGGGGCTGATGAAGAAGATCGGCGTCGAGCTGCAGCCCGCGGAGGCCGTTGCGCGCGGTGCGGCCCTCCTGATGGCGGACGCGTCCCGCAACGGGCAGGTCATCCACGTCCAGCTGGGCAAGTACAAGGAGATTGACGAGAGCGTGTTGCTGCCTGCGTTTGAGTCGATCAAGGGCCCGGATTATCCCGGAGAGGACGAGGTCTTCCGGCGGTTGCAGGAGGTGTTGTTTGCGGGGTGAAGTCTAAGGGCGATGTAGTAATTTGTGGAAGCATGAGATGAGAATGATAATATGGCTTTGACCAGTATCATGTGGCACCTTTCCAAGTCTTCCATCCGCGGCGCGGTCGTTCACCCATTAATGTTCAAGAGTGAGAGTATGTGTCTAAACCCAAGAAGTCAGAGGCTCAACGAAAGACGAGAAGAATTCGAAACAGCGTCATGCAAACTACGCTTAAATGGCACAGGTTTGTTCAATCTCTGGCTACTGCTTGTAATCGAGCCGTGACGTTAGCATCAAGGCGGCCAGTCATTCAGAAGAGGGCATATTTCATGTGCCGAACCTCGCTTCAGCAAGCACAAGCCCAACTGTCTGCTTCAGTGCCAGACATGATATCATACCACACGAGGATGTTAAGGCACCTTGCAACGCCTTCGACTCACCCGGACTTTCAAAGTGTAGACCGTAACCGACAAATCCAACACAATTATCTGCGTCACCAGCTTCAGTGACATAGATTAGCGCAAGTAGTATCATGACTACCACCTATCGGTAGCCTGGGACAACATTTCACGAATCGAGTCAGGGCAGTAATGTGTATGAGAGAGAATAATGACGTTGCCATTCCGAATGCTCAGACAACTATCTAGCCCACCAGTCCCAGCATGAAGCTGAACCAGTCCAAAAGCCTTCCAGTCCGTCCAGCGATTCTCTCCCAACCTTTTTTTCCGATATTTTCTTGTCGTTGTGAGCACCAAAATATGTTCTCTCCTCCAAAAACCTTGGCAATACCAGCTATTCGTCCCAAGATCTACCTTTGCAGGCGTCTCCGAGACTTCAGTGGGTCGCCGGATCGAAGGAGCCAAACATCATAATGATACTCGGGTATTTCTGCGGTCGTGCGTCGAGCCCGCTCTCGCGAAAGAAGCAGGGTATAGGCGTAGAATACGTAACGGATGGCAACCGCCACCGCTACCAAGAAAGACATCTTGGTTGTCGACCAACGACAACGACGCTCCTCCTATCCCGGACGAGGTGTCTTCCAGCCAAAGTCTCCCCCTGCCAAAGAAAATGCATGGATGAGATGGGGAACCATGCCCCGACAGACGCCGTTTGGATGCCAAGTCACCCCGACCGCCCTCCGTTTCGTATCCCAACATTCAAGTCGTCTCCGCGATTGATTGATTAATACTCAAAACACACCGCGGCGCTCAAACCAGTCGATGAGCTACCGGACCGCCCCGTCTTCCCGCCCTCGTGCCACGAGGACCAACTCCACTTTTTTCCCCAGCAAAATCAAATATGGCCGTCTTCCATGCGAACGCCATCCCGGGGCTGATGCCGTTCAGCCGCTTGTTGACCCCCAAAACGCCGTCGTTAAAAGAAGAACCAACATGACATGAAAAGATGGGATCGGAATGTTCCACACCATCAAAGAGCCTCGTTCAGGACCAGACGCCACGCCCTGCGGTAGTTGTTGTTTTTCGTCCCATGTGTTACCCGTCGTCTCGTTCTGTTGTCTCCAGACACCACGCAATTCCAGCTCATGTTGAAAATGCTGCCGTCAGAAGGCCAAAGGAAAGGAAAAAGAAGTCAAACAAAAGACCAGTAAGATCCGAGGGGTATGGTACAGGCCAAAGTTTGCGAATATGTAACGAAGCTTTTGCTGCTTGGCGACGAGTGGCGGGGGTTGATTGGTGTTTTCGTTTTCGTGATCGTTGAGTTGTGTGAGAGAATGTGGAAGCTCGTGTGTGAGACGCCCGACCCAGTCTAGTCGTGCCTTGCCGCCTTCAAAACCAGGGAAAAGAAAATATGTACAATCCAACAGTAGACGCCGTCGCGTGTTCCGTGCGACGTATACTCCATAACGCCTTTCTATAATGGAGAAGATAGCACGCCTGCCTAGGACGCCTGTCCTTGGGGCTGCTGGGCGTGGTGGCCGCCTCCACGTCCCCGACCACCGTAGCCGCCGCGGCCCTGGCCACGGTAACCGCCACGACCGCGTCCGCGGCCTCTGCCGCCGCCCTGGTAGCCGTTCTGTTGTTGGGGGTTCTGGGTCTGCCAGTTGCCAGGGGCGGGCTGCTGACCCTGAAGGAGCTGTTGAGGAGCCGGAAGCTGGCCCTGGGGACCGGGCTGGCCGGCCTTGAAGTTGGAGATGGGTCTGGGAATGGACTCGGGGTTCTCGTAGACGTAGAGAGACTTGTCGATGCTAGCGGGAATGGGCTGGATCTCAGTGCCGAGATCCTTCTCAATGTTATAGAGGTTGAACCTGTCATCCCAGTTGATCAGGTTGATGGCCAGACCCAAGTGGCCATAGCGACCGGAGCGACCGATGCGGTGAAGGTAGGTCTCGGCGTTCTTGGGGAAGTCGAAGTTGATGACAACGTTGACGGCCTGAATATCGATACCACGAGTGAGGAGATCGGAGCAGACAAGGTTTCGGCAAACGCCATTGCGGAAGTCGTGGAAGACACGATTTCTCGCTTGCTGGGCCATCTTGGCGTGACTGTAGAAGCACGAGTAGCCCAGCTCGGTAATCTTCTTGGCGAGCAGCTCGACCCGGTTGGTCGAGTTGCAGAAGATGATGGATTGGTTGATTTGCAGCTTGGAGAAGAGGGTGTTGAGGCAGTGCACCTTCTGCTTCTCTTCGACGAAGGCGTAGTATTGGGTGATACCGCGGAGGGTGAGTTCGTCCATCAGGTTGATTTCGTAGGGGCTGACCATGTTCTTGTCAGAGAAGTCCTTGACGGACAGAGGGAATGTAGCGGAGAAGAGCATAACCTGGCGATCCTTGGGGTGGAACTGGAGAAGCTGTTCGATGACGGGGGTGAATTCGATGGAAAGAAGCTTGTCGGCTTCGTCCATGATGAACATGGGGCATTCGCTGAGGTCGGCAACGTTCTTGCCGGCGAGATCGAGGATTCTTCCAGGAGTACCGACCACAATATGGACTGGATCCTGGAGACGGATGATATCGTCGCGGAGGCCAGTGCCTCCAGTGGTGACCATGACGTTGATTCCGAGGTGCTTGCCGAGGGTTTTGCAGACTTGTGATGTTTGCATGGCGAGTTCACGAGTGGGGACGAGGATGAGGGCTTGGATCTTGGAGACCTTGGGGTTGATCTTTTCGAGGGCGGGGATGACGAAAGCTGCAGTCTTGCCGGTACCGTTCTTTGCACGAGCGAGGATGTCGCGGCCGGTGAGGGCAACGGGGATGGCCTCTTCTTGGATGGGGGACGGCTTCTCGAAACCAGCCTCGAAGATGCCCATCAACAGATCTCTCTTCAATTGGAAGTTCTCAAACTCCAGGCCCTTCGTGTTCGTGACATCCTGGATTTTGATGTGAATACCTGGCAGCAAACACGACAGCGCAGCGGATACATACCTCGGTTTGATGTCTGCTGTCCTTGGCGGGGAGCTTCAGGTTCTTCTTCCAGTCTTCAGGTGCGGCACCATCGCTAGGCTAGTCAGTCCATGTACTCTTTACAGATGGTGGGAGAGGTTTACGAACCCCAAGGACGTCGCCTTAAGCTTGTCTGCGAGTGCTTCCGCCATTTGAAAGTGTGAATATGGGATATGTGCCTAATGGCGAAGAGGGGAGGATCGCGAGGGAGATGGCAGTCGTGGAGGGGAGTTGCGCAAAAGGGCTTTTGCTTTCCCCACTTTGCGGTGAATCGAGGGGCGAGTCGGACTCGACGAGTATCAGGTCAGGGTGGGATTATTCGGCGACAAAGAAATGTGTCGCTCGAAAATAGGATGTTCGGATGAAGGTCTCGAGAAAGCGAACAGCAGTCGCGTGGTTGATCGTCTGGATTCCGTGTCCGGAGGTTGAGGTGGTGGTGGTGGATTTCGGCCGGACTCTAGGAGTTGGGAGGTGCACGGATTGCAGGATTGAGAGAGGGGTGGTGAGGTGGTTGAGTGCGCGATTTCGATTGTTCTTGTGATTGTCGTTTGTTGACTCGGGATACTGAAACAGCAAAAATGTGTTTCGTCCACGAGAAGAGCGCGAGAGTGGTTGTTTGGTGGTGGATTGCGTGGAGATGTGTGGTTATGTGGGAGGAGAGGGAAGAAGCAAGTTTGTGGTGACTAGACCGAAGCCGTGGGCCGTGGGCGTGGGCGTGGGACTCAGCGCCAGGTCACTCACTACCTTACTCACTGTGCGTCGTGTGGTGCGGTGCGGTGCGGTGCGCCTCACCTTGCCTTCTGGGGCAGGACCCCTTGCCTATGCGAGGTAGCGGGAAGGTGGGTCCACGTGACCTGCTTGACGTCGGGTGAATTGATACTCAAGTGATGCTGGTCAAGGGGCTTGCCTGGAAATTGGATAACGAATGTCAATATCAAGGTATGAGATGTAACGGGGGATGGTGTTTGGATCTCAGAAGGACTGATTCGTGTTTGTGATTCGTGCTGCTCTGTTCTGCTCCTGCCTCCAGTGGCCTCTCTACGTCAAGGTCAGCAAGAGGGGCATTGGCTTCTACCTTCACCGGGAGCTCCTGCCCTCTGCCATTGGTTCCACACCGAGCTCACCCTGGGCCATGTCCCTCAGCCGATTGGCTGCCCCTTCCCCGCCCGATCGCTCCTGCAGCGGAGCTATCGGATCGATAGCAGGAGCACTGGTCACTGAAGAGCAGGTGCGCGCCATTGCTACTTACTGCCGCACTGAGCACTAAGCATGAATGCGCCCGATACATGGAGAGAGTCGAACCACTCAAGTCCCCGAAGTCGTCCTTTGTACCTATCCTTCTCACAAACAATCGCCGAGCAACCTCTACAAAGCTCCGAGGTCCGCTCAAACAATGACATCCCAAGATCCTCCGCAACCTCCCTGAATACCACTTATTTGCACCACAGATCCTAACCAGCATGAAGACGTCCGCCTTTGCAATCTGCTCCTCCTCCAACGCCTTGAACCTCTTCGCCGTCCCCGCATCGTCAATAACGTCACCACCCCGACGCCCGAACCGCGAACAACAAGCAGCCCCTCGTCCACGACAAAGGCCGTCTTCACGATGCTACGCAACAGCAACCACCAATCCCTCTAGCGACGGCAGTAAAAGCTGCCCCGCCTGGCCAAAAACACCTAATCCAACCCCCTACGATATCTTCGCAATCCATAAATCGGCACCTTACACCAAGTCCCGTTTTGCCCAGCTCGTCAAGCAGTACCACCCCGACAAGCATGCCTCAAACCCTCTCGACACCTTGCCCGCTGCCACTCGTCTAGAACGCTACCGCCTCGTCGTCCTCGCAAATGACATCCTCTCTAGTCCAGACAAACGCCGCGCATATGACTCGTGGGGCGCGGGCTGGCATCTACCCGGCACCGGCGCGGACGACACCCGCGATATTCACGAGATGTACCGTGAAGCCGACCGCAGATGGCGCCACAGCCCGAACAACCCGGGCATGAATGCCACCTGGGAAGACTGGGAGAAATGGCACGACCGGAATGAGGGCAAGGAGAAGCAGCAGCCCCTGTACATGTCCAATGCAAGTTTCGCAGCCCTGGTGCTGGCAGCGCTGGCGGTCGGGACGGTAGCGCAGACGACTCGCATGGATAACCACTCTGCGGTCTTTCTCGAAAAGAGGGCGCTCCACGAGGCGAACATTAGCGAGGGACTGAGGAGGCAGAACGCCGCAGTGGCGGGCAAGGGGCGGGAGGAGAGAATCGAGAGGTTCTTGCGGGAGAGGGAGAATATTAATTACGGATTCGCACCGGAGACGATTGGCGGGAGGCCCAGCCCTGATACGAAGTAGCTCTCGTATTATCGAGATGATGTCATGATGTATTGTACACTATCAGCGTTCTGAGACGCATTTACGTGAGTTTATACAGCGAATCTATCGGAATTTTAGTTCTGGGATGAGGTGTGCTCGGAGATGACCTCCCGCATGATCTTCTCGGCGTTGGCAGGATCGATGCGCTCCGGCTGTCCCTGCTGCATCATCTTGCCGACGAGGTACATGAGCTTGCCCTGAGGATACGCCTTCTTGGTCACAAACTCCATGAGAACCTTGTCTTCGCCTTCGATAGCCGTCTCAGCCAGTTGGCGGTACTCGGACTCCGAAAGCTCGCGGAACCAGAGATCCAAACCCTCGATGGCCTCGGTGACGGTCTCGAACTGCTCCAGGTTGTTGAGGTAGAGCGCAATAAGCAGCTCCTTGGCCACCTTGCCTGTGATGCGCTTGTTCCTGAGGTGGAGGAGAATCTCCGAAAGAGCCGTGACGGGGACAGCAGCACACTGTCCGTCAGGTCTAATCTCCAGCGTGCGCTCGCTGGCCTCCGGGTCTTTGTCGACGGTCAGCCGGCCCAGCTCATGAAGCACCCAGTTCCCGACGAGCGGCGCGTACGACTGCAGCTCCGGCTTGTTGCCAGCCTCAGCGAGCCTTGCTCCAAGGTCGTCTACGATTTGGTAAAAGTACTCCAGCCTGCCGCCGTCGTCAAGCGACATCAACGACACCGCATCCTTCGCCGTGAGCCCGTAATCATGAATAAGCTCATCCAGCTCCGCGTCCGGCAACTCCGTCACAGACTCCTTCAAAGCGCTCACGAGGTCCTCCCCGATAACCAACGGCCCGAGATCCGGGTCCGGCATGTACCGGTAATCCACCTCGCCCTCCTTCCCGCGCAGCCTCCTCGTGTGCTTAGACCCGAGCGTCCACCCCCTCGTCTCGCTCTTGATCTCCTCGCCCTGCTCCAGCGCCGCAATCTGCCGGTCCCGCTCCGCGATAATCGCGTCCTCGACCGCCTTGATCGTGCTCAGATTCTTGATCTCCGTCCGCGTGCCCAGCGGGATACCCGCGTCGCCCGTCCGCCGCACGGAAACATTCACATCCGCACGCAGCCCGCCCGCCTCCATACCACTCACGCACGCGTCCACGGCGCCCAGCAGCGTCTGCACCTTCCTCACGAACACCGCCGCCGTGCGCGGGTGGTGCAGCTCCGGCCGCGTGATGATCTCGATCAACGGCACGCCCACGCGGTTGAAATCAAGCCACGAAACGTCGTTCGGCTGCGCGAGTGTCTTGGCCGTGTCTTGCTCCATCTGCACCTGCTGTATCCCAATCCGCACGCTCTCCCCGTCCTCAGCGGCGATGCCATCCCGCGCGGTGAGGACGACGTGCCCGTCGCGCGCGAAGGGGTGATAGTACTGCGTGATCTGGTACCCCGCGGGCTGGTCCCACCAGAAGTAGTGCTTGCGGTCGAAGCGGCTGACGGGCTGGACGGCGCAGTTGAGGGCGAGGGCGGCGCGGAGGGCGGGGATGAGGGTCTCCTTCTGGAAGGCGGGCTGGCTGCCGGGGATGGCGAGGTCGAAGAGGGCGGCGTGGGTGTTTGGCGCGGAGGTGTGGGGGGACGGGGTGGCGGCCGGGGAGAAGAGCTTGCGGGCGGTGTTGAGCTGGGCGTGGATCTCGATGCCGACGGTGAGCTCCCAGCCTGGGACGGTCTGGTTTGAGCCCTTGGGTTTCTTGCCTTTGGATTCCTTCTTTAGGAGCTTCTTTTCTTCTTTGAGTTTCTTACGGAGGGGTGTCGGCGGCGGGGGTGCTTCGGTGGTGGGCGTTGGTTGGGATTGGGTGGTTGTGTACGGCGCTCTTTGGGAGGACCAGGCCGGCGCGACACGGGCCGGGAGGCGGCGGGCGGTGGACAGGCAGCCGTTGCGGGAGAGCTGGCCGTTGAAGAGGTACCGCGCCAGTTCGCGGGTTGGTATGCGCCGCATGGTGGTGGTGATGCCGCGGGTGATTTGTCTTGGGTAGTGGGTGGATGATGTGCACCAAAGGGTTTCGCAGACTGTAGTGTGGCGTGGACGAATCGCGGCTGAGAAGATATTGTAGCTGTTTTAGCCGTATGTTGTACACCCTTTACATAGTATGGCTTTCGTGTTCATCAGCGAGTGGCCGCGGGGATTCGATTATGCGTGATTGGAGGGGTCGGCTCGTTGATAGGTGGAGGGGTAACGGTTTTTCAGCCATTGCAGGACGACAATTGGGCCGTGGTCGGAGGGCTGGCCTGTTGAGCTCGTCGTCGATATTTCGAGTCAATGGCACTGGTCGGTGTCGCTGAAGCTGTAGCTGGGGATAGCCTCGAAGCTCAACGGTGGTGAAGATTGGACCGGCCGGTGACGGGACGGCAGCTTAGCTTTTCGGGCCGCTCAAGGTTCCGGGCTGCATTCCGCCCTCGTGGGCGTCGGCGGGATGCTTATGTAAGACATCAGGGGATGATCCCGTTTGCTCATGCTCAGCGAGCTGGGGTTTGCGAATAGCGCACCCATGCTGGTCACTCAGTGGAGCGCTGCGCAGTCCAGGGAGCGGAATGCCGCTAGAGGAAACTGCCGGGAACGTGGAATCGTCCCGCTAGACTGGGTTCACCTGGCTGCCATTTCGTCACTCTACATTCTCCATTTGCTCTTATCTTCTGATACCGGTTGGTTGTTGGTTTAAACAAAAAGCAGCCCAACCTCAGAGGAGTCGACACATATGTTCGCAACACATCACAACTCACCTCAGAAGCAGCTCCCCGCCCACACCACCATCAGCTCCAAGGAATCATCGCACCGCACCCAACACCTCAGCTCGCCCGTCACACCTTGACAAGACAGCCCCTCCCCCCATCCCATCCGTTGGTCCAGTCTTCCTGGTCATCTGAAACAAATCCGTCGACGGCTGACACACTCCTCTCCCGATCATATGGCGCCCTCCCTTCCGCTGCCATCTGTCTTTCTTTTTTCCTCCCTGTTTTTAGACTCAGCCATCCTGTCTCCCCGAATAGACTCCTATCCCACCCTCCCTAATGTACCAGTCAGGCAATTATCGATTACATGCCCCTCGCCGCCGCTCTCTCGCCAACATACTTTGGGACGCCCTCGCCGTGATGCCACCCGCCTGAACGCCGCCTTCCAGGACTCTGATCTCCCCGGGAAGCCCCCAGCCTGATCCCGCCCCTCCACAGCTGTTGGGCATCGTCCGGACCATTAAACTCCCTTGCCCTTGCCTCCTGTACACTACCTCATCTGCTCTCTTACTGTCCTGACCGTTCTCTAATGTGTACTATCGCCCGACTACCTCTTCAGCTCTTGTACCACCCGCAGTAGCAAGGCCCTACAGCTAATCCGAGACAACGTCGTACACCCACCCTCGTCCTTGGACACGAGGTTCACCCGACCTCAGACGGCGATCCGTCTCCCCCAAGCGCAAGCCAGCCGTCTCCCGTAGGAAGAACTAATCGCGCTCTAATAATCCCACGCCAAATCCACGACCGCCATGTCATCCGACTACCGCCCTCCCACAGTCTCCGACGACCTCCCCGGCAGCCCAGCGCCAGCTCAAGCGTGGCTGGCTCCGGACCCGAACGACGGACTCGCGCATAGCACCAGCGCCGCCCATGCGCCGTTTCCCTCGGCCGCTTTCGCGACAGATAACAGACATCACATGCCACTAGCCGACGACAACTCACCACCCGCCCGCTCGCGTCCTCGCAGCGCAACCGTCCGGCGCACTCCCTCCCTCCCCGTCTCGCCAGCGCAAACAAAACCGGACGAGGTCGCAATGAGCCCAGAAGACCAACAGCAGCAGCCCGATCCCGAACCCGTTGCCGACCCAGAGTCCTCGTCCGATGAGACTGTCGTCCAGGAGCCGTACGACGATGAAGACGCAAACCTACCTCACTACCCGTTATCGCCAACCCTGACCAACTTCACAGCACTCACAGGACGAACACACCACTCAAGCAACTCCAGCGGCTCCGGCTCGACGATAACCCAAGCATCCTGGCCGCGGCGCAGAGGCAGCGAAAAGTCGCGACAGCACGACAAGTCCCAGCTCAAACGCCGTCGCAGTCGCTCACCCCGCCAGCAGCAGCAGCAGCAGCAGCACGCCGCCCTCAGCTACCTCGACGCAGACTCTCCGCACGTCACCCCCGAGGCCATCCAGCGCTCCGTCGAGCAGTCGTACTGGAGGATGCCGCCGGACGGGAGCTACCAGTCCCCTTCCACCCGGAGCACGGCCTCCACGGCCTCCACGGCCTCCAGCAGCTTCCAGAGCGACGTCTTCTCCGAGCTCGACCATGAGACCGACCGCAGCAGCTCCCCAGATCACAGTGCCTATGGCGATCCTGCCTCCCCAGGCTCCATTCCGGGCAAGTTTGACGCGCACCTCGCGGCGGCCGCGCAGCAGAGGCAGCAGCGTGGGTACCGCAACTACGGCACGCCGGAGATGCCACGGGGGAACGCTAACCTGCCGCACCTCCCGCCGAACGCTCTGCAGCCGCGGCTGCCCGGCATGCACCAGGGCCACCCGAAGCACCTCCCTCGGGCGGAGAAGCTGCCGCTCTCGGGGTACGAGGTGATTGCCTCGAAGCTGTGCGCCGGGGACGCGGACAGGTCGAGCATCAAGCCCATCTACCGCCGCTTCGAGGCTCTGAATCATAGGTTGCTCCTGCATCTGCAGGATGAGCTTGCGGAGCTGGAGGAGCAGCTCCACCGGCTGGATACGGCGGACACGCAGACGCGGCGCATGCAGAACTGTATCCTTCCCGCCTCGCGACGTCAGGAGGCCCTCACCGCGGGCGAGCTGCAATGGCATAAGACGGATGTGTTGGGCAAGATCGGGTACAAGCTCGGGCAGTACAGTGCGTTTCTCACCGCCCCTTGGGCGTTTATCAAGACTAACACCCGCCAGACCACGTCCTCTCATCGTTCAAAGACACCCAGAACCTCCCCAGCCCCGACCCGCGGGACGTAGACTACTACCGCGCCTACCTCGCA